CACTGGGGGGAGGAGGTGGAAATCAGGAGAGCAATTAAGCTCGGGAAGTAGGGAGGGGTGGGGGGAGGTGTTTTAAGATTTGCTTTTATTTCTCATTATCCTCTTGTCTTGTCAGTAATAAATTAAATTTGTTTTTTCCCCAGTCTAGTCTGTTTTGCCCATGCCAGTAACTGGTGAGTGATCTCTCTGTCCTCATCTCCACCCACGAGCCTTTCGTTATATTTTTCTCCCCCTGCCCAGTTGAGGAGGGGGAGTGATAGAGTGGGCTTTGGTGGGCATCTGGCCTCTAGCCAGGGTCAACCCACCACAGTATCAAAGAACTCCCAGCAGCTTAGTACAGTCTCTGTGCCATCAGAACTAATCTACACCATAGATTCTCCTGCTGCATTCCCTAACCCACAGGCACATCTGAACAAAACAGTTAATACAGAATTCTGAGCTTGAAGCTTCTGCATCTCGTGCATACCACTGCCTGCTCACTCAGCACGCAGAGAACAACTGTGGCCAGGGCCACTGTTCACCCAGCCCTGAATGCTCCATTGTCTGTGCCTTCAGCAGACAGTCCCAGTACTGTGCAGTACTCGTGGTGATCATCTGTCCACCAAACTCCACCTTCCTGTGGAAAGTCAGTCACTGGTGACGGTCAATGGAGTGCTGGCTACTTCTCCTTAGCTAGTCACATTCATTAAGTGTGCAGTCCTAGCTGAATCACAAAAGAATTACTATCACAGGAGACTTTGAGGAAGTTTCTACAGCATTTAGAAGCTCATGTATCCAGCTGATTCACAAGTTAGTGCTTCCCACATAATCAAGGTATAGATAAGTTTGCTAACCTGATAACTAATGTGGTAAATGCAACTGGATCAGATCAAATGTTAAGTTTTTCCCTTATCAGAAGGAGTATAATCTCTGATTTTTGAGTGTACTGCAAACCATCAGAAACTCTGATGCACTGTAAGGAACTACAGCTTCCAAACAGGACCTAAGAACACTGCTGCAAAAGAAACACGTTTTCTTCTCCCGGACAGACATAATTAAATAAATATCCATATCCCACCTGACACTTACTTGGGGTTTTATAGTCAGTTACATACAGAAAATAATTTCCAAATTCAAAAGAATAAACAGTTTTTTAATGACAGAAACCTATTAAGAATTTAGTTATGCTGTGAACTTGTAAGCAGACAGTTTTCACTTGTGGGTATATTCATTCAGCCCCTTCAAGCTCCAGAGACAGCTCCACAACATAAAGTACAGAATCACAGGTGTGACAGGATGTTCACCAGCTCATGTCTGCCCTCCCACACAGCAGGAGTGACACAGCTAGCTTAACATAACTCTGTGCCCCATGAAGCTACAATACCCCAAAGCTATCAAGAGTAGAAATTTATTTAATAATCCATCAAGATTCTCAGGTATCAACCACAGAAATAATTTCCAGGAAGCAGAACTTTCTACTCCTTCCAAAGTACCATCAGTGGGAGTTTAACATTCAAACATTTGCCTGTCATTTTTATTTCATCTTGACCATCTTCAAAAATGTAATTTTTAGTCATGGCCACAATAATAAACAACCCCAGTTACTCTCCAGCAACATTTTTTTTTCCCAAATGACCTCCCAGCATACATTTACTTGGTACTTGATAAGAACTTCCTTCACTGTCACCTACCAGAAGCAAACCCAAAGCCAACATATATGATACTTGTGAAAATGGGAACTGGTTCTAAGAGTCAGGAGTATCACTGTGTGCTCAAAGGTTCAGTCAGCTGTTGCTAACCCAGGCAGCCTGATTTCTGCTTCTTCCCATCCCACCTCTTCTTGCCTCACTACTGCTTCCAGGCTCTCATCTGACCCCAGGGTGAGCTGATTTAAACAAGTACCAGGAGAAGCAGCAGAGCCCTTAGATCAGTTTTCGATTATCAAACCACATCCTCTTACTCGAGGCATAAACTCTAAATGTTTCCAGTGCTAATTAAGATCAGACAGACGGGAGGAAGAAACACTAAAGAAGTCTGTAGGGTTTGATTAGAAGCAGCCTGCTGAAGAAGCAGGGATTATTTTGGGAACAGATACCTCTTAGAGGTAGTTAAAAACTCTCACCCTCCCAGTAGAAGTCTTTTCAGAACAAGGAACTGCTAATGGCTTTGGTAATCTCCCACAGCTCTTAGGTGTTGAAAGTAGCACTTGGAAAGTACCCAGCCAACATACACATTCCTCCCATCAGGAAGTAAGCTATTCTTAAGGTGAATCTTGCAAAGGAGAGATTTCCAGCCTCAGAGCTAGAAAAAACACTTCCAGGTTAACATGCATGCTGCTAGGGGAAATCCCTCTGTTTACATTAAGTTTGTAGTATGTATATGAACTTCCTTGGCAAAAATCAGCATTTAAAAAGGAACAGGAACTTAAAAGTTAGTTAATGCAGACACTTCCAGGTGCAGTAGCTGCTTTTGATTATTTATTACTTCCGTGAATGTGGTGTTTGCTGTATGAGAAGACAATAGGAAAGAAATAAATTGCTAAACTAAAATCCATTGCCTGTCCTATGTGATTATAAGTTACTATGACAGCAGTAGAGCCTTTCAATCCCTGAACTCTTTGCAAGATGGTCTCCATCTCGCCTTCTAGTACTTAAACAAATCTTGACACCAACTGCTGCTGGCAAAATAAATGAACAGGACTGTTCTCATTTTTAACCTGATTACTAACAGGCACTCCACCATTTCATTCCATGTCCACACTTCTGCTGAAGCAGTCAGGTCATTTTACTGATCCAATGGATTTAAGGGACAACCCCAAGCTGCCTCTCTCCTAATACTTTTAAATATCTTATATCCTCTTCTAATTCAAAAGTGCTTAATTTGCAAAAGGTTTTTACTAGAAGAGTCCAAAGGCATTACTCACCAGAACTTTCACCACCACCTTCTCCTCCCTAAAAGAGAAAGAAATACATTATATGTCACACTTCATGCATTTTCCCCCTCCAAGGTACTCAATACTGCACATTCTGACCATGGTGGTCAGGCACGCTGCTCCATCTAGAAACACTTTCTGAGTGACAGACCTGATGAAACACTTTTAGACCAGCAACAGGCTCTTAGGGACAGATATCAGAGTGGCACGGTGGGCTCTGCATACGCATTTCTGCAGATTAATGTTGTGGGTTTGTAAGCACCAATTCTTACAGAGTGACTAATATAATTTATTTATCTAACATACTTCTAAAAGTTTCAATAGATAATACTGAAGAAATCCTGATGGCCTGTAACATGTGGCATGCTTCTTATTCCCACATTGTGAAGGATGCAGGTGGGCAAGAACACTTTATTATACACAGCATCCTGCATGAGGCAGCACTGACAGCAACCAGAACATTGCAACTGCCAAGCAGGGATGATAACAAAGCTATTCTGTAAGCAATCAGCAATAGTTCTGTGTCCTCTTTATACTTATATATATATAAAGATGTATCTTTATATATCTTTATACTAAGCAACTCTTTCCCACAAACTTTCAACTGTTAGCAAGGCCAAGAGCATTTGTTCTATCCAAGACATTTAACATCATTTGTGAAAAAGATCAGGTTTTTGCAACATTATTGATAAAGTTTCCCTCACTACACAAACAGCTGAACGTTCTTTTCATACTGAATCCGTTCACAGGCTGCAACTTGACACAAAGATACAGAAAGTCTTCCAGCAGCAGCCAAGTCTCCTCAATGGCATGAGGTTTTATCAACTTTCCTAGATTTGAATATTGTTAATTACATAGCAAAACTATAGTCATCAGGATGTAAATGCACAGGAACTCAATGCAAATATGTTGCCCTAAGTCTCAGACTGGGCTGCAGCACATTAATGTAACTACTGGATAAAACTGAAGTATTCTGCATTGGAAGCATCTGCCTGCAAAGCTGAGAACCACAGTATTTAATACAATTAAGTAGAAAATAGAATTAAGAGTAAACAGTTTATTTTTGTTTTCTGTGGTAGCAGCTATAAATTTAATCTCACTTATATTTGCTAAATTGGAACAAGACATTTCCTGCAACAAAGAATAATTTCATGGCTCAAAGCACCTATTAGTAACAAAAATGGGTTAAAGTGATGAGCGACGCAAATTATCAAAATAAAACTTGTGGTTTATAACCCAAGAGGTAAAAGGTATCTGCCACAACATTGGAGATCAACAATTTATCTACTCAGTTCTTTCCAGAAAACCTAAAGCTGGAGAGCTTTAAAGAACAAGGTTTCTTTTTTTTTCCCCCCTCTATAACTTGTTTATGCAAGTGCAGTCTACCCTAGGTTCCTGTTTTTCTAAATTCAGAAGAATTACTACTCTTCATCCTGTTTTTCCCATTAAATGTAATCATACATCAAGCCAAACCCACATTAACACTACAAGTCATGCTCCATATTGCTACCAAGTAGACAGTTTACATCAAAAGTGACACACCTGATGGTATTAAAGACAGGAACAGAAATAAAACAAGCATTCAGGCTGCTGAGGCAAGTACTTGTTGGGATGTGAAACCAAACCTTTTATCAGTCAACAGATCCAGACAGTTTGTTGTAGGTAACTCCTGTTTGTGAAATCTGTTAAAACACACCACTACACACATGGCTGAAGCTAGATTTCACACCACTTCGTTACTGTCTCATCAATAAGAAGAGTTAAGAGCTCTAGAAAGTGGTCCTTTTAGAAAAATCCAGCCCTTCAGCAACATACTGTAACAGCGTGGAAAAGAGAACCTTCAGGAAAAGAACAGATTCAAATCCCACAATGCCCTCAACTGTGTGAACATCAGTGATGAAGCAATCACACACAGAGTGTGAACTGTCCCATTATCAGGCTCTTTGGAGTTCATGTACTGACCTTGGGATCTACAAAGTCTCCACAGTTTGTATCAGTTGAGCTTCTTCTTTGTGGTCCAGTTGATTCACAGTCTTCTCTGATTTCACCTGGCTTAGTCCCTACAAGCAGAGATTGATTCTAATCAGGTTGCAAGATAAGCTTCCTGGGAAAGCAGTTCATAAATAGTCAGGTTTTGGGGGGGGGGTTGGGTGTTTTTTGGGTTTGTTCAGTTGTTTTATTTCTTTTAACTTAAAGCTTTACCATTCTAAGCTTTACTGTTCTAAGATGTCCTGGTCCTTTAGATTATCTCTCACAAATTACTGTCTGACAACAGCATCTCATGCAGCTGAGGTTGTCATTTAAACAAATGGAAACTAGAGTTCCAAGGCCACCCACACTGCAAGGGCTCTGCAGTAATGGAAGGTTAATCCCAGTTGCAAGTACAACACAAAGCTGAACTTCCTCTGATTAATCAAAACCAATCAACGCTGCTCCAAACACTAAAACACAAGTTTGCCTTACTCTGACTTGATTAACTTGGAGAAATGGCATCCAAAATGCAATTCTCTCAGCTATTTGCTCACAACATCTATGTCCAAGACTTGCATTAAAAAAAAAAAAAACAAAAAACAACTGGAAGTCATTCAAAATGAGAAATAAAAAAATCCCATGGAAGCAGACATCATTTATAGCCCCAAACTACCAAGTAAGGAGCAAGTTTTGGTTTCCACACTGAACCAGCAGCTGCAGGCTGACACAAAGAAAAGAAAAAAGAGAATTAATGCATGTCAGCAGATCTGGAAACAAAGCACTACATTCTTACCTGATGATTTAGCCCAGGAAGGTGGATTTTCTTCAGGAGTTCCAAAGATGCTGGATGCCATTTTGTTCCTTCTCACGGGTTGTTCTTTTGGTTCATCAAACCCCAAGGAAAAGTTGGACCCACCACCAGGAGGACGCAGCACTCTGGAGAGAGAGTCAGCTCTTTACAACCTTGTGTGCACCATTACTAAACTGCACTCCAACATATAAAACAAGACTAAGAAGCCAAGAGATCATTGTTGTCTCTTCTAATGCGCAGTCACAGGGGATAAATTCTGTCCAAATAGAAACTACTGGCTTTTAACAAATACCACTGTTATGTTTTCAGTGCAGAATTTGAACTATAAAGGTAAGCTGCCTGCCAGCATTCAATCCAGGCGCTGAATCTCCACTACTCCTTGGTGACATTTACAAAAATAAAATACTCTGCTGCTACTAATCTTTGGTCTGAGCCAATTAAAAAATAAAAAAGTAGGTGGGCACATCAAATTCCAGGGTTTTTACGAGAACTCTGTGAAGGTGAACATTCATCTTCAAACTGGCAGCACAGCAAAGACTAAAGTTTGATGTATAAGCCAAAGTACTGGTTGCATCACTGAGGGCTGGGGGCTGCAGCCTTCATCTAGATTTGCTTCACTGGAAAAACCCTCAAGTCTGCAGCATTCTATTGGGCTGGACTTAAAAGGTGCAATTAAACAGTTTTAAATTATACTATCATTAGAAGATGTATATAAAGCTGCAGATATGTATGTTAAATCTAACAATCTTCTATTAGATGGACACAAAAGAAGCCTGCCTGGTACTTCATGAGCTGTTTTGTGGTCTGCTTTCCAACTTGCAGAAATCAACCAAAATTAACAGCAGCAGCAAAATAAATCTTTAAATGTAAACTCCCCCAGATCTTATTTTGTAAAGCATAAGATCTTTAAAGGCTGATGGAGAAGCCAGACAAAAGCCAGAAGAATAAAAATGTACAAGGCTATATGAGAACTGTCACAACCCCCTGAGAGATGTGAGCACACCAACAGAACTGGGCTTTCAAGATATCCAGTGGGCTCAAACGAAGACCAGAACAAGCTAGGAAAGGTGCACACTTCTTCTTCTTTACAAATAATTATTAAATTATTTAGAACTTTGCAACAGAACACAGCACCCAGCTCGTTCATGCACCAAACCTCAGAATTGGACACAAAGAACATGTCTGATTTCATGATGTCATCGCTATCGGCAACAGCACTCAGATCTTTAGAGACTTTGTGCCTATCACATTCCAGATTACGTTACAAAAACACTTCTCCAGCCCACGGTTCCAACAACACAACGGGAAGAAAAATTCACAGAGGTGTTTGGCGTGGATATTTAGTGTTATTTAACTAGCAAAATACGTTCCCTTCCAAAAAAATTTTCTCCAAAGTTCTAATTACTAATGCTCAGCTGCTAATGGGAGGATCCCAGGGGACTGTACAGTATGTTTTAAGAATCCAAGAGCATTTGTGTGACTTGCTTTGTCTCCTTTCTGAATTGAGAGATAATGGTATAATGGTCATGAATCGCCCCATTATATTCCCCCCCCCCAGAGGAAGTGTCCTGATATAGAAGGTTTATTTTTTTTTTAGTTACATCTGTTGCACTTAATAATTTGAAAAACAGTCTGTTCAAAGGAGGGCTTGTTCCCACATCTTAGATCACCTTTATTCCACCAGAGAGTGAAACCAGTACTCTCTTAGAGGCACAAGTTTCCACCGACAGTCTTAATTCAATTAACAGAAAAGGAAATTGAAGGAAAAAAAAAAAGCCATCACTCAAACTGTTCAAGAGGGGATAACCCCTTTTGCCAACCTCTGCTAGAGATTGACAGATTTTTATTAGAAACCTTTCACAGCCTTGAGTTGTTGTAACATCAAAGGTACATTTAACACTTCAAGCAATGGACTGCTCTTAAAATTACACCTGATACTCGGTGATGCCTACTGAAAATTCACCCACAGCTCCATCCGGGAAGCACTCCTGGAAAGGGTTGGGGTTTTTTTGCTTTATTTTAAAATGTACCTGTTTTATCAGGACAAAACCTTACAAAAAAAAAGAGACAAAATGGTGTGAAAAGCCGACATGACACTGTCCAAACCAGCTGCGGATGCCCCGCGAA